ACGTACGTGCTGTACTGACGTCCAAACTGAATAGACAAAAACTGCTGGAGCAGAGTGCCACGGTCATCGATTTTCGGAGAGACGGTCAGGTAGCCGTCGTACTACCGCGCGCGTGTGTGGCTACAACGGCCTTTTTGCGTTCATGATACCCTCACTTACGCCAAGATCTGCCACAAGTTCGGCCTGAAGTCTACTCAGCCCGATAGGGCCGATAGAAGCGTTCGTCTGCTGTCAAACTGCACGCTCACATCTCTCTGGTTGGCTAAAATTTCCCGGAAAAATCCCGTAACGTGACGTCATATGTCGTGCGCGGACAAGAATACTGAAAAATTTCATTCGCGTTTCCGCGTGGCCCGCGTTTGAAAAATCGTAACTTTTAAAGGTTTTCCCAAAAAAATATACCAAAAAAAGCGTTGTATATCAAGCACATTTCAAGCTTTACAACGATACAAAAAAAGCTACTTCAAAAAAATTGAGGCGTAAGGTTGGTTTTTGCGTGCATGGTCACACTATCCACGCTGACATCCAAAATCAGCAACAACACAGTATGCTAAACATTAATTAAAAAGGAGAAATAGACAATTCAGTAAGTCTGGTATGCAGTATAGTAAAGATAAGCTACAGTGTTAAGTAGAGCGTTCTTTCTGAAATTTTTGTACTACTGTAAGGACAAGTTGCTGATGACCTATATGTAGTATAGAACTCTGAGCATCTACCTGTGTGGCAAGCGCATCTAGCATGCAAATCTCTGATATCATGGTGTAGCAAAATATAACCTAAACCATAGAGTACAGTTTGTATACCAACTACGCTGACATACAAAAATCAGTAACAACACAGTATGCTAAAGGTAAAAAGGAGGGAATAGACAATTAAGTAAGTCTGGTATGTAGTATAGAAAAGAGATAAGGTACAGTGTTATGTAGAGTGTTGTTTCTTTTAAATTTTGTACTCCTGTAAAAGACAAGATGCTATGTAGTATAGAACTAGGCTACAGTGTTAGAAGAAGTAGAGTCGAGAGACGTAGAGTAGTTTAAACTTTGTACTGCTGTAGAAGTTTGACTATTTGCTGATGACCTTTGGCTCTTGCGACACTCATGGCTGTACGTCCATCCTGAGAGGTGAGGGAAAATTACACTCATTGACTAAATGAGAGACAGTCACACATTATTGCAGCACTAAACCCTCGATGCAAATGGGTGCTGACGTCAGCAGTCTAGCCTGCAGTAGGTGCACTCTACACATGTGCCGAGAGACAGCACTGCTAATTGATGGGCGTGGCCATGCTGGGTAGGCACACAGCAGAGTCACACACAACCACATGACAATCCCTCTAATATTATGTTCAGCACTCAAACAAAGATGTGACTATTAAAGTTGGTAAGCCTTTTACCTTATAAGGTAGATCTTTAGCTCCAGATTCTAGCAGGAGTCTAACTACTTCCAGGTGTCCATTGTAACTGGCCATAATGAGTGCAGTTGTTCCATCCTAGAGAGAGGAAGATAGAAAACATTAAACATCCATTTCCATAATACACCATACAAAGAAATGACACGTGACAGTGCACATGATGGGGACACTCAGATCTGCTCATGGTGACAGGTGGAGCAGTGAGTTGGTGTAGCGAGACCAGTTCTGGCTCTCTGACTGATTAACGAAACAGTTCAGATGTTGCAGGAAATTGAGAGGTATATACTGGCATTCAGCCAATGCAGTGCGACCCTGTCTGTATATTATTATATCTCAGAGAGTCTGCACATATTAATTCTCACCCTGTACTTTTCTCTCCCAGTCAATGATTGTATACCACTATTGTGTTACTCCAGTGACTTAGTGGTAGTCAGAAACTACAGCTGAGGTCCAGACTGTGACTGTCCCACTAGTGTCCACTGGAGACTCCAGACAACTCTGTACAGCTACATTTGCCAATGTCGTAGTTTAAGACATGATGGTCTTCAGAGTTAGGCACAGTCATAGTCATCTGAAACACTGACTATGTTACGTACAAGATGGAAGTCATCTTTAGAGCAAGACATGATATTACCACAGTGTAAGCATTGACTATATAATACTGAACCTGTGTGAATGTTTCTTCTTAGTGAAAAGGATTTTAACTGAAATTTGGAGGCCTTTTGTACGCGGATAACGTGAGAATTCCCATGTCTACTGACGCTCTTATAAGGATCAGCTACTCACACTTTTTTTTAGGGAATGCTTAAGAGAGAGGTAACTATTGACTTCAGCTGAGCCCTCAAAAAATTGTCATACCTCCTTTATTACACATCCAATTGTAAAGGTGCTAACGTCATTGGTTTTCTGTTCTGATAATATGCCTTAAACCTTGCCTTAAAACTTAGTTTGCATGTGACAAAATTGAGAGCTGAAGGTCACATGACCAGCACTAAGTGTGAATAGGTCCACCCAGATGGGTATAACCAGCTGTGACATCACTAACGATCAGTATAGTGAAGTATATAGGAATGCTGATCTGAGGCCACACACACCACAGTTGACTACCCATCTCTTACCACACACCATTAATACTTCACAGGCCACATAAACAATAAAGCGTAACAGCCTACGTACTCATACTTTAATATATATCCATGGTGTATCAGTGACATACACATGATGGGGACACTCAGATCTGCTCATGGTGACAGGTGGAGCAGTGAGTTGGTGTAGCGAGACCAGTTCTGGCTCTCTGACTGACTGATCAAGGCAAGGAAACACACTTAGAGATGTGGCAAGGAATTGACTTCAGCTGAGCCCTCAAAAATTGTCATACCTTCTTTATTATACATCCAATTGTAAAGGCACTAACATAATTGGAGTCCTCGCAATTTTTCTGCTCTGATGACATGCCTGGCTGCATTCTAAACCTTATCAGTCAAAAGTTAGCTATATGTCCCACAACAAAAGTATCCCTAAATAAAGGATGTGGTAGCTAGCTGTATCAACATATAAAAACACTTGCTGGGCTCAGGTGACCGCAAATACAATAAAGTGCTATATTAGCTATGACATGACATTACCCACAGTGCAAGCATCGACTAATACTGAACCTGCGTGAATGTTCCTACTTAGTGAAAGGATATTAACTAGAGTTTGCGAGGCCTTTTGTACGTGGATCACGTGAGAATTCACCAGTGCAATCCCTACTGTATTAGAGTGTCTAATGACGCTCTGATAAGGATCAGAGGTTAATCACACAATATTTTGGGATCACTTATGTGATCAGGTTAGATCATCTTGCTACAATATTACAATAATCACCCAGGAATCCTGGACCACCTAAATGGTTTGCGATCGTCCATCCAATTCACTATGGAAATGGAAAGTGGAAACTATCTATCATCCTAGACACAATATTGACAAGAGAATGATGGGAGTTTGGATGTTGGTGTCTCACACGGAACGCTACCTAAACTACCCCTCTCACCATCCAGTCGATGTGAAACGAGGGAATAAAAAAGGGAATGTCTAACAGAGTAACACACATAACTTATTCACCACAACACACAAAACTCGGAGTGACCATTGACCCCTAAATGGTTTGCGATCGTCCATCCAATTCACTATGGAAATGGAAAGTGTAAACTATATATCATTCCTAGACACAATATTGACAAGAAGAAGTGATGGGAGTTTGGATGTTGGTGTCTCACACGGAACGCGACCTAAACTACGTGTACTCCTCTCACCATCAAGTCAATGTGAAACGAGGGAATAAAAAAGGGAATGTCTAACAGAGTAACACAGATATCTACATAATTGGTTGCCTTATTCACCACACCAAACAAAACTCTGAGTAACCATTGACCCCCAGTTTTAAAGGGTCAGAGGTTAATTTTTTGGAATGCAGAACAGAGAATAGAGAATAGAGGTGAGTCTCTCAAACTGGCTGAAGTTCTCATACCTTGTCCTGGTAGTTGATGACAGCTCCAGCTGATATCAGTTTCTCCACGATCTCTGTGTGACCTTTTTCAGCAGCTCTCCCCAGAGGAGATGTGAGAGGATCAACCTTCACAAAGAAAATTCAGTTAAACAGGAATCATTGTGAGTAAACAAGTCACTCACAAAGAGTACTGTTAAATGGATTTTGAATATACAAATTTAACATTTACACAATAAAGGTAAGGATAAAAAAAGCTACTTTTTGGCACTGTTCACCCTCCATAGTCGACTTTGAACATTATTTAGCAAGCTAACACTAGAGTTACTGGCACACGCAGAAACCTTGTAAAATTTCAGTTCGGTGCATGTGTGAATTATTGCATGTGTGAGTTAAGAATTACATTGGACATCACAATAGGGTGGCACTATTGCAGTATACATTACATATAGAAGTGCAGGCAATCCAGGTCACTAGGTAGCTTACCAATTATATACAGTAATTCATGTTTGTAGTAAACCACTCAACTAACTATGACTAGTCAAATACAGTGAAGGACATTAAGCATCGAGGAGGGGAAAACAGAGACTAATGTATTGCTCATTGCAGCAACAGACGTAGTTATGTCGGTACATGTATTTGCTATAGATTGAACCATAGGCTACTTCAGAGTAGGCACAAGACCAAATGTAATGTACACTAAATCCTACGAGCAGTAAACATGGTCACATACATTGACATATCTATCCACAAGTTCATACCAGCCATGAACTATTGGCGTCTTTGCTAAGCCCCAGAACAAGCATCAGATTGGAAAAAGAGAGAGTTTATCACGTTAGTTAGATAAAAATGTAGTCACCTGTAATATCTGCCAAAAAGGTTTCCTCGCGGCAGATACATCAGCCATCTAGGTAGTACAGTACTAATCCAGTGTGTAATGCAACTCTTTTGCAGTGAATGTTCATAAGGTAACTACAATTGTTCATTCCGAGTTGATGTCTGTTGCATAACAGACAGTAAGTGTATTTTGTTGTTTTTTCAGCACGTGTACTAGGATCCCTTGTATGGTCCTAGGACTGCCAATGGCCTGACAATGTGGTGACTAGATCACTGGGCATAATGCAGTGTTGCAGCCGGACATGAACTGTGCAGTCTCTGTACACAACTGTTAGACTCCTACACTACCATATATACCCTGTCCAGTGTTCTCTTTGCACAATGCAGTGATCACATGCTGCCTTGAAGGGCTCTGTAAGTTACGTATGAATACATA